TGTTGTCGTCGTTGGTGGTGGTGGTGGCTCTCTGCTTTTGGCTGTGGTTGTGTTGCTAATGTCGGCAGTGGCGCCGCTGATGGTGGTGGTGGTGCTGCTGCTGCTGCAAGCTGCAGCTGCCGTTCTTGGAGATGTGTTTGTGCTTGTGAGCCAGACTTTGGTCAAAGCGCCTTGATCTGCTTGTGAGGCGTACTGTACAACTTCGCCAGTTCCAAGTACCTGCCCCGAAAGGACGATGAGGACCATGGAATGTTGGACGATACAAGGTTGACCACTTAGAAGAGGAAACGTGGCTCCCGTCGCACCGAATGAGCGCGAAGCTCACACGGAACAAGTTTGTCCTTGTTGATCAAAGTATACACACACACAACACATCATGGGCAACAGCAAGGGGACTGCACGAGACAGGGCTGGGGGTCTCTGGGCAGCAGTGTGTGGTAGGACCAGTGGTATAGACTTTAGCGTCGCATTGTAGTCCACATCAAGTCTGCCAGAGTGTTCTGACACTCTAGTGCAGATGATAACCCTGGCAAGGTAAGGCCGCAGTGTAATGAGGGCCTGAACATACAATCTTCACTAGTAGCTAGTGTTGGCGCGATCATGGTGAACCAAGCAGCACACTTACTGGACCTCCGATAGCTACCAAGACGACTTCAGTGTCATGGAATGCACGAAGTTGAGGACAATCTTCGTTGTCGATGTTAAAAAGTTATCATCACCGGCACAGCACACCACTAATCATAACGAACATCTTCGGACAGGATTGCTACATAATTTGCATACAGGCACACCCAAGCCCTTACGACCGATAACCTCAACCGAACACCTTGAGTGGGCACTGCAAGGCAAGCTCATCCTGATAGATTGGCGGCCTCCCAAGAGATGGCTCCGGTTGAGGGCTGTGTGCCGTAGGGGTTTACAGGGCTTTGTGAACAAAGAAAAGCCTTGCAGGTTTAGCACCATGGGGTTTGGGAGTCTTGGCTTAGGCGGGCTTCTCGGACGCCCAAGGTCAACAGCGCTGAGTAAAAGTGTAGTTAGCCTTAGCCGTGCCACAACCCCAATGGGGTGTAACTCGTCAACATGCTTGGCTCACACGAACATGTTGAACAATCACGGTCGGTGTAGCCAAGGTATTGAGTGCAAAATGACCAGGACGTTGACAAGAAAACCAAACACATGTCGGAAGGCCAGAACTCTAGAATAGTTCGCAGATGTTGTGAAGCACACATGCGCAACCGCAGTCTCTGAATGTTGAATGGCTGCTGGGACGAAGGCAGGTAGGGAGGTGCGATTGGTCGGAACAGTTCCAAGTTGTCAGAAGCCCCCTGTGCATACTCACCATACCCCTGATCCAACCAAAACCCCTACCCTATCTATCTATCTATCTATCTATCTATCTATCTATCTATATACATACATATCGCGAGAGACAGAGAAAGAACAAGACAGACAGACCAACAGACCGACAGGGACAGACACGCAAATATGGATGTATATGTATCCCTGCCCCGATTTAGCTCAATCCGAATGCCTCGCAGCCATCGGCCCGGAGAACAAGGCCGGGTACTCAAGTAGCGACTCGCTTGACATCACCTGGATCATGGATCACGGAGGAGGGGGTGTATGTATGTGCGCGTATACAAATGAGCATTTGATCGATGTTTTGTTGTGCATCTGAGTTCTGCTTGCGCCTGCATGTGTTTATATATATATATATATATGTACATATCTCTCTCTCTATATATATACACATATTATACATATATATATATATATACATACCTGTATATGTGTGTGTATATATATATATAGCAGTCGGACATAATCGGGTGGTACAATGGTAGGTGAAGTTGGATTTTGATACTTTGGCTTCGCTGTCTCACTTTCCGTTGCGAACTGTGCAAACAGCTGCCAGTCTCGACGCTTTGGCCGGTCTCCCTTTGTGCGCAGCCAGACAGACTCTGAGGGCGTCGTCCTCCTTCCTTAAACCCTATAGAGCCTAAACCCTAAACCCTTCGGACTATTTTTGCCTCTATACAGAAGGGCTCAGATGCAGCGACTCAGCGGTGGCATGGCACGCCGGAGATGATTCAAAGGTCCAGCCGAAACTTCGTGCAACTACATCTCACATCCTCGAGATACCATGAGTCTGACCCCTAAGTTCACCCTATAGAAACCATCCTTTCAAGGTCTAAGTTCAGTCTTCAAGAGCCTAACTAGCAACGAATCCTGAGACCACCGAACTCGCGTTGTTGTATCGTGCCGGCCCAATCTTGGCCAAGCACTGCTGACCGAGATGGCGACCAAGATTGTGTCTTCTTATAACATGGGGGTTTCTCAAAACAGGGGGCCCTAATTTATTACCCTAAATACTAGGATCCTTATTATAAGGACCCCAAAGTAAGGTACCCTAATTTTCGGAATCTCCCATATGATATGATATTGTTGTATTGCACTAGGTCACAATATATTATATTCTTTTGCTTTCTCTTACGTAATACAGTCTATTCAACTCTATTTCTTCGCATTATAGCATCTTATATTAGAGTATTGTATTTGCCTCAACCATCTCTTTCAATTTAGTGATGTAAATGACCTTTATAACGCCCGGTATCAGCATGTATACGGACCTAATCTGATTTGCCAGATGCAGCCCGTTTAAACAAACAGAAACCTGCGATGTCTTGAACCTTCGATGAACAAGTGTGACGATACTGGGCATGGTCTTGCCAGGCTGGAAAATAACGGACACTGACACAACCCGCACCCGAGCGTGGGTTGCCGCCCAAACGGCACGTCCGAGATTCTCCACTCTCTCGGCAATGGATTAAATTCTTGCAAAGCTTTCGGAAAATGAGGATGGCCCAAGGAACGGAGAATACAAAAGGATTTCCTACTCCCTGAAACCGACATGCTCGAAGCAAGGCATCATTAAGCCCCAAGTCTCAAAATCGAGGCATCTCAAAGCCTCGAGGGCACGTGGAGCTGGAAAGTCGATTTCCCTTCGGGTGTCGTTTGAACCGAGCAGGGGAGGCCAAAAGTGTCCCGCTCCAGGAGGGCCTTGACGATGTCCGCTTCGGCGCCTTGGGTTTAAATTGTGGCATTGGGGTTCAGAGGTTTGGGGTATTACATGTAGCTCATTGAGGGTTATAGGGCTCTTCAGAGATTTCGTGTTTAAGGTTTCGGGGTTGAGGGGTTCAGGGTTTTGGGGTGCCTAGACAGTCCCCTACTGCACAGGTATCACAGTGGCAAAGTATGACTTGTTCTGAGATGATGTGACCCAAGCACTCGTGTGCTTAAACAAACGTTCCTGTATGTATTCATGCAAACCCTGGGAGTATGTCTCTGTTTATACATACATAGACATGAACATGGACATTGTCAGTGTCGTTGGCATTGACCCGACATAGACATAAACATGTGTGCCCATGGGTGCCTATGAGTCTCTATGTCTGTGCGTGTGTATGCTATGCATGTATGCTATGCATGTAATGCATGAAATGCATGTAATGCATGTGATTTCGTGTGGTGCATGTCTATGTATATATGCCTGTGGTTGTGTGCGTATGTGTATATATATATATATATGTGTATATGAAAATTTAACCTGATGAAATTTTGTTGTATAGCATTTCGACATGTGCCGACTTGAGTTGGGCTGTTCATGCTTTCTTGATGCTACAGTACCTGATGTGCGCGTTGGCTCGCTTCAAGGCCCAAGCAGGTGGGATATAGCAGAAGGGTACGGGTTTATGGCGTTGAGTCACTTCCGCCCCTTAGTACAGAAAGCCAGGCTACATCGGATCGTAAACCAGGACCACCGACCCGTAAGCACAACTTGAGCTTGTCCAAAGGTGCGTTAGCACAGCCAAGGCACTGGCGGCGATGAAACGTTCGGAGGTTGCAGTGAGCGTGCCTATGATGATCGCTCGTTTCGGCTTGTTCTCGACATCAAAGACCACGGTCCAGAGATCGACAGTGGCCTCTCCCGAGGGTTGGTCGTTCATCTTCACTGGCACAGGGTGAAGCTTTGCAAAAAGCTGCTTTGCACGCTCCTGGTCCTCCTCCACGTGTCGAGGCACCCAGGTGCAAGGCTGAGTGGAATAGACCCCGGCAGAATGTTTGGAGAAGATCCCTCCATTTGAGGTGACCAGTCCCTTGGAGCCGGGATCCCTGCGAAGGATCTCCACCATCAAAGCAATACTGTGCGTGCTGAAGTTGTTGCCGGGCCCTCCATGAAACTGCATCCCGCCCGTCTTACAAATATCGGAGGCATGCAGGAAGGGTATACCGAGCTGCAGTGCCGCATGCCGGACAGCCACAGGAAAGCAGGAGTAGATCTCTTTGTGCTTGATACCAGACAACGGCTCGCCCAAGGTCTCCTCCAACCGGCGCCGGATCACGCGCAGTGCCGGCGAGACCGTGAAGTCGGGGCGATCCAGCATCCGATATGGCTCCTCCGCGACATCCGAGTGCGCATGAAGGAAAACAAACTTCTCCTCCGGGACTCCATGCCGCCGAGCCTCTCCCAGAGACATCCTGAAAATCGCAGCTGAAATCCAGGAGTGCAACACGCCTAACTCAAGGTGCCCTCATCTCTGCAAGCGACCCTTTCGGGATTGTGTCATCAACTTCCGCTTGCCACGGTTCCCATCATTTCCTATAGTTTTCGTGCTTGTGCAGTTGAAAACCTTAGGGTTCTGATCATGGTCATGACAGATCTTGCCACCTACCACCCTCCACATCCAGACCCTTGAGAAAGCATTGAAACTGGCAACCACTATGATGATGGCAGTGAATAGCACAAACAATTCAGCTACACTGAGGTGACCAAACCGTGACACTTTTAAGCGAAGTCAATCGACTACGTACTTCAATCAATACTATACTATACTATACTATACTATACTATACTATACTATACTATACGGTACTAGACTATAATATGCAGGTTTAGGGCTCAGCATCTCCTTCCGGTACCCAGTAGCAAGCAGCTTCGTGTTCAGAATCGCCTTCGCATCTCATCACCTCCCATCATCTCCCATCTCTTTTCGATGTTAGAACGTGGCGGGCTGCAACCTAAACGCATGGCGGGTGTTTGTCCTCCCAGTGGCGATTCTACGATGCTCTGAGCAAAGAGGCAGGACGAACATACTCCTATAAAGCATTAGTACTGCGTGCCTAGCGTCAGGACGACGGCTGCGCTTTGGTCCACATCGATGAAGGAGTTCATGGCACGAGTGTAAGGAAAGGCGACATAGCGGTTACCAGGCCCCGGCGTCGCGATCTCCTCTGGCGTCCTCGCCTGCGGATCCCAAGCGTTCGCTGGATCCGCAGCTGCAAGCTGACTGAACTCGGACATCAGGCGTGCCAGCTCGCGCTGGTATTGCTCCCGAGAGACGTTAGGATAGCGTTCCTTCCTGTAGGCCTGCTCGAAGATCGCGTAGGCAACTGTGGGGTCGACCAATCCGGTCTGGGCCATCCGCCTTGTCACGTAGGCTGCCATGCCTTCGGACTTGAGAAATCGCTGTGGTTCACCACCAGGGTCATCTCCCCATGGCAGCTCCTTGCCCGAAGTGTCGATTTGGCTCTTCTTCTTGTCGGAGAGCTTCCTCCGCATCTCCGTTACGCCCGGAAGAGACATGCCGGCAGCAAGACCTTTCTTCAAGCCTGCAAGGCCCTCAGCACCACAAATCACCGCTGATCGAATCTTGGATGTGGAGATCATCTCTCCCAGAATGTTTATCAGCTCTTGGGGTCCGTTACCCCCTGTGGGGTGGGCGTACAAGTGATTTTTCTCAATGGCTTCGGCCGCACCGATCAGGGTGGCCACCGACTTGGGCGGGTTCGGATAGTGCTTCGGGGTCTTAGGTGGCACGAGCATCTCATGCCAGAACTCCATCGTCGCGACACAGTCGATATCCGCACCCTTCAGCGTAGCATCCTGCAGCGCCCTTGTCACCGTTCTTTCCAAAAGCTGCAGCGGAGTCAGCGCGTCCGAGAGATCCGGATGTTGGATCCGGTGTGTGTAGCGAGCCACTCCCACCACCACCGGCGTCGTCTCTGCGACAGACATGTTTCTCACACTTGTTCTGCTGTGGAGAGTTTACTTCATGTAATTGCACCGGGTTGTACGACCCGATATTGAGGGTCATGCAAAGTACTAGTTTACTAGTGCCTTGGATAGAACGTGCGATTTCCCATGTAGTGTCGGTGTGGTAGTATGGGCCGTATGGGTTTCGACTTGCTGATTCACGCAAGTCACATCCAGCTGAGGGTTTGGCTTCTGATCCGAATCAAACATCCGAGGCTGTTTCTCACCAGGCCGACAACTCGCAAAAGCATGTCGCGTGCAACTGTACGGCAGACATTGTGCAGTCTTTCGGCCAATCAAATCCATTTGGCCGTTCAACAGTCTGCTTGACACTGCACAGATGTATTCACTGAGGGCATGACCGCATCCACCCCCGTTGCTTGCATGCAACGTTCGACGTCTTCAAACCTTGCACAGTGCATGTGTTTGCGACAGACATCTACTAAAAAACATCTTAAACCATCCATGCGAGAGTGTGGGCATCAACTGGTGTCACTAGCCACTGTCATGCACATCCAGCCTAGGCTGCCGCAGCACTAGCAAATAGCTGGTTTATGAACTCGACTACCGGATACAGGTCAGACTGACGCTGATCAACAAAGAAATAAGTGCAGCCTCTGAGTGAGTGAAACCATCGATTTTCAACACAAGCAACAAATCCACAGCGAGTGCCTCGAGTGCAGGCTCAGGCCGATCAGTTTCACCTTGCACCTCTGAATCTACCTTTCGTATTTTGCGTCAGAGCCTCCCAAAAACCCAGGAATCCGTAACCCTCCAGGTACCTACTATTTAGGGCCCTAGGGGCCCTAGTACCCTTTTTTAGTAGGTACCTGGGGGGTTGGGGAATGCCAAACCTAGCCGGGGCGCGTGTGGATCCCACCGTTTGCAATTAACGGGATGCCGACTCGGCGCTTGACCGCTGCGATGGCGTCCTGAACTTACCATCTTTGGGGTACAGCTTTACAGCTGTATAGAGTGTGTATAAAGGGCTTTTCGGAGTTGTATCTAAGGTGCAGGCCGGAGTTACAGTAGGCTTTAGAGCTATAATACAGTGTATATGGAGGTTTTTCGGGATTTGTATTTGAGGTGCAGGCCGGAGTTAAGCTGTGTTTTTTGGTTTCGAGATCAGGTCTGGATAGCACTGAGGGCAGGCTGCGCAGAAGCTTACCTTCCATGCGACGTCGTCGGCGGCCCTGAAGCCCTGAAGCCTGAACACGCATGCTGGGTAGTATTATTAGGGGTACCCCGAAAAGGGTACCCCTTCTGAACCCTACTTTTGGCTCGCTTAAAAGGGAGCTTATTGAGAGGGTCTATATCCCCAAGGGTCCCCCTAATCCTAGCTCCCACATGCGCTGCATCCTGAGCCCTTGGCCCAGTTGGGTGGGCCAGTAGACTGGCCCTTCATCTCCTGCAAGGCTTCGGGACATAACCCTAAGCCCCCCAGGTATCTACTATATGGGGTACGTAGTACTAAAGCCCCTATAGGGCCCTATAGAGTAGGTACCTGGAGGGTTTGGGGATATAAATTGCGACATCGCGAGAGCTGCAGTCCAAGCCTTGGTGCGGCCATGGAGGCAAAGCACGGAGGCGCCTGCGGCCTGCCAGCGGTCTCTCAGAAGGTCTCAGAACCCTAACCCCCCAGGTACCTACTACATAATAGGGCCCTTAGGGGCTCTAGTACCCTATATGGTAGGTACCTGGCAGGTTAGGGGAATATCGACCGTCTCGGTCCATGAGCCTCCAAACGGGAGACGAGCTTCAGCGTGTCCTGCGAGCGCGCTCAGACAAGATCGAGGCTCGAGGCCCAAACAAGGCTGCCTCAAACGTCAAGACTTGAGCAGATTCTGCGGCAAAGTCGCGCTCCTGCAATTCGTTGGCGTTCACGAGTCGGATTTTCACGGTAGAGGGTACCGAGAGCTCTCGGTCCAGCGTCCGGACAATGCCCTCAATCCTCGTGATGCTGAGAGGAGACAATGCCACCGATATGATTGCGTCTGAACCTTCAAGAAACTGCTGTTTATCATTCAACCACTCGAAACTCGCAAGCCGAAGCCGAAACCGCGAAGGGACAGGGAACCTTGTTCTGGTTCACGGCAAGTTGCACTTCCGGCTCGGACAGCAGAAACGCTCCGTAGTGCCCCTTTCGGGCGATGCCCTGTCCGAAAACGTCACGACCAGACATATCCATACACATGCTCTCAACAGCTCATGTAGAGAAACACCTGTCGGCATTATAAGGGTGCAATGAAAGATCGGCTTTTTGCTTGTCAGGCTGCGTCGCGCCTGGGGACAGCCGCAGTTCAAGTCCACAGCATCCACTGAGTTCGGGGGCAAAAGTTTGGCTGCCTGCGAAAAGCGGCGAAGTCTTTAGGCGCAGATGGTGGCTGTTCAGGGTACTGCAGCACATCACAGCTAAATATGGTGTTCTTCAGGATGCTCCTGTTGCCAAATCCTTGCCTGCTATGAATCTTGCCAGGAGTGTGACCAGGAAAGGGCTAAGACGAGACAGTACCCCATTCGTTTGTCTCTGGCTTATCATCATGACGTTGACAAGCGACACAACCAAAACAGTATGAAAGTCGTGGAGCCACAAGCGATAGCGGCGATAGCGGTAGTGGTAGTCGTCGTCGTGGTCGTAGTGATA